TCGGTCGAGCTCTGGCTCCAATTTTATCGCGTGCCTTTTTATGTTATTCCAGAAAATTAAAGATCTACAGTTTATTATTAAATTAAATACTAGCTCAATTATGCAAGTCAAAATTTACACTCAATCCAGACGCGTGTTGTTGTTGTTGTTGTTGTTGTAACCGCAAAATTATTCCCCAAGGTACTTTTTGGGGAATATTGCGGGAGTGACAGTCCTTGGCCGGATAAAAATCCGGGTCGTTTCGGTATAAAGACCCGACTGTCGCAGGAACTATTGGATTTTAGTCGCCTCTTACGACAGGCATGCCTTACCGCGGGTAAATTCTTGAGCCCCTAACCCGCAGGGGCGTGCTGTGTTACTATTTTCGTCACTGTAGAATTTGAAAAACCAGTAAACTGATATGATTCTGCCCTTAAAATACTAATTCGCCAATAGAATATATACTACTTTTGCTATTCACTGGAGGCCGACTGGACTACGGTTGCCTCCTGCAGGGAGCTGCTACAATTTTAGTTCCATACAAACTGCTAAGTTTTCGTTCCCTAGATTCTTTAGAAGAAGAAGTTTATATACATACAAATTTGGCTTCGCACCCCAAGGTACCAACTTAAGCGAGCAGGTAGTCATAGCTACACAATTAATAAACAAAAATAGTAAATTTACGCATACATGAAGCTTTAATTAGCAAACAAAAAAAGTAATACTTGGAGTTTGAATTAAAAATAATGTACAGAGTAGAATTTACTCATGCGTACATATGTATTTATTAAATGTATGAACGACTATTTTCAGCTTAGTTTCAGCTTGTTGTTTGTAACTTTTACCTTGTCGTTTTTTTTTTTGCCATATTTATTGTTATGCAAACAAAACAAACTTCGGAAGAGCAACAAAGCGAGGTCGTATACGCATTAAGCTTAAAGTTAAGGATTCTCTGGTTAGTTTGAATATTTTTGGAAATTACTATATACTTGTCTCCTAGGAACATGGACACTATTGACTTCATTATTAAATTTCGTCATTCATGTTACATACATACTATATTCTTTTTTAACTAATTTTGATAAGAAAAAATATGCGCTTGCCACGGAGTGGGGAAAGATGGATACTTGAATGTAATTTTGGCATTGCTGAATACTGTTTTTATGTTAGATGCTTCATATAGAATCATATTACTTTTGAAGGGAGCACTACAATATCGAATATTGGAAAATTAATTATTTTTTATTACATAAAAGAAGACTAATTTGGTGGTGAAATTAGCACATCGTAAGCCATGCTGAGTCAATTCAAGAAGCTTCTTTTAAAAATCGGCTGCTTCTCCCAACCCTGGATCGTGCAGCATTGGCTTTAGTTATACCATTATAATATAATAGGTACATATCATACTTAAATTATCATCTGTAGATGATCATATGTAGGAAATTCGATTTAAGGCAATATCCAAAAGCTTATTGCTGTGAAATCCTTAGCTTTAAATACTCAGTTTTATGTATCACAGACACAAACAGTATTGCCAGATGGCGATATTTTGGGCAATAGCCCATGGCTAGATAACTTTCTTCGTAAAAAAAATATTAAATTAGTTAATTATTTTTGTGAAATTTAATTTTAAAAGCAAAAATTATTTACAACTAACTATTAAATTATTGTTAAATATAAGTATAAATTTTGCAAATGTGGTAAAAGTAATGAATCACTAAATCTGGCAACACTGGACACACAGACATTAACTATGGCAAGCAATAAATGGAATGTCGTATTCATCTTCTGTTTTCTGTTATAATATGGAACCTTTTTTAACTTTTAAATTTAATAAAGAAGTGAAATAGATATAAATGGGTTTTACGAAGACATATTTAGTTATTGAATAAATGTTTGTTTTATTTTTATTATTTTTCACTGCAGGGTTAAAGTACAGTTAAATTGCTTGCAGTGAAAAGTTATATTAAACTTAAAGGACAGTTCTTAGCCTTTAGTTTTTAATTTCTCTATTGAATTGTAAATTAGATAAGATAGAATTATTTAAGGAATAATAAACCGAGCAAATGGCCGCCACGGCTTTCCATTCACTCATTTGTGGAAATTTTCGATGACAATTTCTGTATAAATGTGACTGAGTTTCATTGAAGCAACGTTGAACACGCGTAGTTGAGGCTTGTGATTTTAAATAACCCTACGAAAATGAATCTAGTGCTGTTAAATCACAAGATCTATGAGGCCAATTCCGAGCACCAAAACGAGACGTCCACGTCCTGGAAATGTCTTATGCTGTAATTGAAGTTTTTCAACATTCTGTGCATGTATGGCATGTGTCACCGCCCTGTTGATAAAAGACATTTGCGATATCGGGCACCCAGCCATACTTATAAAAATCTAAGGTCCAATTATGCCTCCATCCCGAATCCCCACCAAACAGTGACAGAGAGTTGTTATTCGACAATCACATGTGGGTCCTCAGAGCCCCAAAAGTGGCAATTTTGGCCATCAAAGTCATCGCTTAGGATAATTTTTATCGAAAAATCAGCATCCATTTTTAAATGCTCAATAATCCATTCAATATACTCTCCATCTCCAGTTTCGCTGTAAACAAATCAATTTTTTTAGGACATCGCCTTATTAAAAAAAAACATCAAAAATAACTTCTTTACATAAGAGGTGTGACAATTAAGTAATGCGACTTATTATATTGCCGTGATTGTGGTAACTTTTCCTTTCTTCCGGCATCCTTCTCCTCTCCATTGATTTATTTGCCATCGCTCTAACTTGTTTAGTTCCCCTGCTGCGTTGTGTTGAGTAAGCGTTCGTGAAATAAAGAGCAACGGAGCTCAATAACATTTTGCGAAACAGCGAATTGGATGGAACAGCTCCGGAAATGTACTAAGAATTTAAAAGTGCAGGGTGATAGGGCTCTTAGTCGTGCCAGGTGTTTCGTTGGCACAGAGAGCTTAAGCTGAGGCATGAAAACGTTGAAGATGAGGCGCGGAGCGGGAGACCAGCCCAGGTGCGGAATCGTCCACAAAAAATTACTTCCACCGGAGCAAACCGTAAATCAAGTCTACTACCGTCAAGTACTCGACATATTCCGAAAACGAGTCAACAGGGTGTAACTGGATCATCCATCACGACAACGCGTCGTGCCACACCGCCCTCAGCGTAGTCCTGTATTTGGCTTCTAAAAGGATCACCGTGATGCAGCAACTACCTTATTCGCCCGATATGCCACCCTGTGACTTTTTTTGTTCCCTAGAATAAAAATAAATAAAAATAGAAATATTACGAAGCATAGAGAACGCGTTGGAGTTCTTGTATAGCTGCCTAAGGAGACTTCTTTGAAGGGGATGGCAGAGTTGCAGAATATTTTTGAAATATGCGGTTTTTATAGAATCAGTTTCATTACTTAAATGTCACACTTCGTATTCGCTCAACTATGGTCCACATTCGTTGTAGTTGTAGAAGCTCAATTGCTGAAATTTAACACAAGTTTTTTTTCACCTTCTTCTAACGTACTTCATTTTACATATTTTTAGTTACCTATTCATTTTAAAAAAGCTTAACCAATAATGGTGCAGAAAATTACAAATTTCTTTGCTTTCGAAAATTGCAAAACCGAATCGGATTCCATGGGAGCCCGGAGTATAAATAGTATATATATTTATATATCTAGCTTCCAATGAAGAGTGAATTGTTTATACGCTGCCATACCAGCAAATACGTGAGTAGTGAGTGATGGTACTTCAATAGAGTTTCCCTTATTCAAGAAGGAATTGGTACCAGCTTATGAAGTCAGCAAAATATATGTAGTAAATTACATTCATTACTATTAAATATGCACAACAATATTTAGTAAAAGTAAATGGTGTATTTTGCTACCCCAGCGTCACAAACGCAAAATGTGCCATCGCCTCAAGCGGAATAACAATGAAGTCCTTCCAAGGAACTTAAGAAAACTCAGCTAGTAAGCTTTAAGTACTCAACACTAATTAAAAAATACTTAATACCAAACAACAACTGGCGACCAACGCTTTCCATACATATTCACAGCAACACTACAACAAAACCACATTTCCCTCCATAAGTCCCCAATATTTGGTCCAAAAATGATTGTGTTTTATGTTTATTTTGCGGAAATGTCATTAAGCTAAATTTGTTAATGTCTTTTAAAGTGATTAAATTGTGGCGCAGACCGTAAACAGCTAACTGCAGAAAAGCTAAAACGCCAACAAAACAAGAAGAAGCACAATTAAGAACTTCATAAAAATATAAACAACCAAACAAAAAACCAAAAAAAGAAAAAGAAAACAACAACAATGTCAACAAATATTTCATAATTAAGAAACTCACTTGAGTTTATAAAATATTCAAATTCCTCTAGCACAAAAGTTGACAAGCTGCAAATTGAGTGATAAGTAGGCGAGTACGAGTGGAGGCAGCCCACAAACAAATTGGATACTTGCTCCCCATAAAGGCCAAAAATATGTGGAATTAAAACAAAAACGCGTACAAAACCAAAGACATCAACTTATTACCGAACCGAAAATTGGATGCAGTGGGAACAAGTGTCACAGGCATGCGTACAGACATAAACTTGTCAGAGAATACGAAGTAAACAAAGCAAAAACTCACCACATACCACAACTCGGAGCCAACCCACACGTTTGTGTTGTCCCTTAGCATGACATGAACAGGCAGGGGACCACGTTTCTTTGTGCAATAATTATTTGCAGGAAATAGCCACACATATTCTGGCATACTTCGAAACTGAAGGGAAACTTTTGCATGCACGGCAGTGTGGGTGGAGTCACAACGCATTGGTTCCGTTTGACCTCAACGTACTTAAAAATAATCAGTAAAGATGTTTTCGCTGCATATTTAAGAAAAATAAATAAATAAAAGTAAAAAAATATTAAAGAAAGTGTGAGCTTGTCATGCATGTCAAGAGGTTTTTGGGAATTAACAGTACAAAAATAATTAAATCTCTATTTATACCAAATGAGCGTGAAGATGTTTCAGCATAACCAAAGAATTTAAAAATATTTTTTTTTTTATCAAAAACGCCACGTGAAAACCATAAAAAAAGAAACACTGGCGTTGGCACTACACCGTTCACTGCATTCCCTCCTACGCCCGTATTATTACGGATCATGGAAATGGATGTTAATCTGCGTAAAGCAAGCGCCATCGAACTGATAACCATATCGGCGGGCTCCTACAGCAACAATCATAAATTGAACAATAACAATAGCGCACCAGCATATGCCTTGCGACCCGCAGCACCTAACTCTCCGCCACCTCACCGCATAGGCTGTTGTGGCATACTCGGCCGTTTGCTTTGCGCCGGTAGTGCTGGCACAGCCAAAACAGCCAGCAGCAGTGCTGACTACAACAACTTAAATAGTCTATTGCCCAATAACGGAAATCATCATGCAGTGCATACGAATGTGGCACCTACACCGAGCGCTGCAGCTGTTGTTTCGGCGGTGCGCAATTCGGCGCTCACCCGTCGCCCACAGACACGCCGTACGCCACAGGAAATCTACTTCGAGAGTCGTGGCAAATCCTGCAAGAAGCTACTAAAGTTCAACGGCTACACAAATAAGGTGAGTCATGCACAGATTTGTACTGCTTTCACGAACTATCAGTTCACACCTACATACATAAATAGTAAAGAGATTTTGGATATCTCCCTTCCGTTTTTTGCCCTTTATTCAATGCTTAATAAAAGGTGTTACAGTGATCGGATTTAGTGAAAATTTGCGCCGTTTTGTTCGATTATCTGTTTCAATCTAGACGGCAACTTCATAATACCTTCCTCGTAGAAGCCCCCCCCCCCCCCCCCTTATTTGCGAAGAATTCGGACAGCCACTATTCACAAGCCTCTTTTGAGTTCAACTTCACACCACGAATGGCATTCACCATGGACAGGAACAGGTGGTAATCACTTGGCGCTACGTCCAGGCTATATGGTGGATGTGAAAAAACCTCCCATCCGAGCTCCCGTAGCTTCTGACGAGTCATCAACGAAGTGTGTGGTCTGGCGTTGTCCTGGTGGAACACTACACCCTTCCTGTTGGCTAATTCTGGACGCTTCTGGTCGATCGCCTGCTTCAAGCGGTCCAGTTGTTCACAGTAGATGGTAGAATTAAGCGTCTGGCCATACGGGAGCAGCTCATAGTGGCCACTATTTGGGACGATTCACCGGCCTTCGACCACGACCGTTTTCGCTTGATAATGTCGTATGTGATCCATTTTTCGTCGCCAGTCACTATCCGCTTCAAGAATGGGTCGAGTTCGTTCCGTTTCAGCAGCATATCGCAGGCGTTGATTCGGTCCAGAAGGTTTTTTTGCGTCAAATAATGCGGCACCCAATTTGTATCCAGCCTTCTGCAGATGGTTCAAAATGGTTTGGTGACTAACTCCCATCTCCTGGGCGATGTCACGCGATGCCACATTCCGGTCTTACTCGATGTATTCCATGATTTGATCGGTATTTGTCGTCACAGGTCTTCCGCCGGTTGGCTTATCCATGGTGTCGTCTTCACCGGCTCTGAATCGTCGAAACCATTCCTCCGCGGTTCGAAGTGATAGAGTACCATCCCCCAAAACACCATTAATCTCACGGAACGTTTCACTAGCGGATTTGCCTTTAACGAAGGAAAACTTTAAAATATCGCGAATTTCGGCGTTAGTGAACTCCATGTTTACACGTCTATAACTGTTGAACGCAATAACCAAACTAATCATGCATAGCGTTGCTTTGTAGGTTATGTCAAGACCTTTCAAATTACAATATGTAAAGTGTTGCCAGATACGAGCTCTGTAGCGCTTTGTACATAGCCGCGAAATTCAAAAGACAAAAAAGCAGAAGGGAGATATTTGACAACCTAAATTTATATACTCTTATATACCTATATTTTCTTTGATAATGAGTTTTTGGAATGAAACTTTTTAGACACTGTGATATGTAACTCCATTTGTGTGGGAATACTGCAGAGCTCTATATCAAAATGACGACAATGTGCGTCAAATAGATTTTAGTTGCGCCGCTATGGTGAAAAATGAAAAAAAATTCGTCCTTCATACCTAAAAAAATGTTATGCGTAAGTCGGTCATTGTTAAAACAAAAGAATTGACATGTCACTTTACTTGCTAATTCACTAAAGACTCTAAAAGATGCCATAAAAAGAAATATTACTTTCCTGGCGGAGACACCGCTTACGCTATTATAGCCGAGTTAACTAAATTGCGCCATTTTTTTTCTTTTTGCTGTTTGACGCCAATTGGAAATATCAAGTACAGCCAGGTCCTCCTCTGCCTGGTCGTCTCTTATGCAAAACCTTTATCTCAAAAACTCCTAACGGCGAATAATAAGATGTTGTCATCGTCCATGCTTCTCCACCATATAGTAGTACCGGTATGATGAGGGACTTGTAGAGTTTGGTTTTCGTTCGTCGGTAGATGACTTTACTTTTCAATTGCCTACTCAGTCCAAAGTAGCACCTGTTAACAAGATTGATTCCGCACTGGATTTCAAGGCTGACGTTAGTGTAAATGCTGGTCCCTATATATACGAAATTATCTATGATCTCGAAGTTATGACTGTCAACAGTGATTCAAAAGCAGATTCGCGAGAGCCATGACTGTTTCTTTGATGGCAGGAGATATTTCGTCATGCCCTCGTTCAATACCAGACCTAGACTCTTTACCCAGTTTCGAGTAAGCAGAACTCAAATCGCGGTTGTTGAGGCCAATAAAGTCGATATCATCGGCGTATGACAGCAGCTGTACACTCTTATAGAAGGCTGTACCTTCTTTACTCACCTTTGCTGCTCGTATTATATTCTACAGCAATAAGTTAAAAAAGTCACACGATAAAGAGTCCCCTGTCTGAAACTTCGTTTAGTACTAAACGGCTTGGAGTATTATCTATTGTTATATTGTTCAGTTCATTATTAACCAACAATTATTAAGTACGGCAATTTAGCCGCTTATTATTATTTTAATTATCGCCATACCAAAAAGATTGAGTTTGGAGGATGATTTTTAAAATTGATCAAAGTTTTATTTGTATATGTATATGATTCAAAATATTTAACAATCTTAAATTATATTAAAAATTTTTTTTATATCAATATGTCTAAATTAAACTATTTCACTAAAAGTGGGGCATTCAACTGTACAAGCCCACCACATTTTGCAGTATTTTCATGCAGATTTGACACAGTTACATGTTTTATAACCAAATATATTTGTCGTTTGATGGCAAAATGCACTAACTCACTTGGCTACATTTATTGGTATACACGGCGTATGAGTGATCAACATGCGCCCCATACCTACATACGCATGTACATAAGGATGTATAACACACCGAGGTTCACTTAACTACATTTACTAATAATGTATGTAAGAGTAAATGTAAAGTCGGCGACTCTTCGATATGCTCGCCATTGTTATACTTCTACTATACGAATGTCCATAAATCATCTTCTTAGTCATTGAGATGCTGTACGCGAATTACAACTTGCCAACGGTTATATGCATGTTTGTTCGGTGTTAGCACGTTGCCATGGTATGGCCAAACCAAATAGCAAATTAAGGAAGTACCATGGTCACTTAAAACCAGTTATAATCCAAAATTCACCTTTAAATAGATTACTTTTTTAGTGAGGAGTGCTAAGGTCAAGCGCTTAAAAGTGTTTTCAAAAATTATAATGTTCAAGTTCACAAATATTGAGAACATTCTGAGCGTGTTATCCCAAAATGGACCAGTACGACTCAATTCTAACGGCAAATTTCACAGACTGGGTATATCGCTTGTATGGAACGTACATATTGGCACATATTTACATGTGCATGTATGTATGTACTTGCATTTGAATATCTAAGCATCTCATAAGAGCTGCAGTGAGGTAGTTTCCTTTGTTATTCGAGTAAGCCAAGTTGATGCACATTTTGTGCAGTTGCCTCAACTTGATTCCTTTATATTGAATATCTTTCCATACAAAGATTTACAAGTGAGTACGCTCCCCTAGTGACACTAGCTCCGCAATCAGGGCAATAAATTCTTATTTCATACTCGCATTTTACATATACACATAAAAGGAAAGTAAAACTAATATACGAGCTTGTATAAAATGGTAAATATATTACATTGAATAAAAGATTGAATGTTAAGCTCACCAAAATGTTGATGCACACTAACGGTTGATATGTAGTAAATTCAGTTATTCAGGTTGAAGAGCAAACAATTCGGAGAAGATTTTGAGTCAGATATTGTAACCACATTATATGCGTGTAATATGAACTGGTCTCTAAGTACTTGAAGACACTGCATGCTCTTGAGTCTTTATAGAGCATTATAATGCAAGTTGCGTTTTAATATGCTAAGCGGAAAAAGTTATGATTGTTACAGGAAGATTTGTTGATATAATCTACAATAGAAATTATAAATCATGGGTTGAACTAGGGAAATATCATAGTTAGGTGATGTCTACTAGTACAAAAAAAAAGATAATCTGTAGTATTCGTATCCTTAAAGATAATAATAATAATTGATATCTTAGTGACCTCAACTATTTATTCCGACTCGGTTAATTATGGAAATATCAGCAAACAAACTAAGATCCATCACACATTGTAAGTTTCTAGCTCTGTTATCCACATAAGCTTACTTACCTCACATGTGATCTTGTGTAAGAAAACCAAAAAGAAAATGAAAACAAAAGATTTGGTTTAACCATTTTTTGTGCTTGTGTACATCAAACAAAAATAATATTCAATGCGCAAGATTTTAAGATAGCTCCAATAAATTGCTAAAATATACTTAAAAAATTCCGCTTTCTTCTTCTTGACGCTAAAATTTATTTTAAAATATCTTCAGGGTTGATTTTTATCAAAAATACTGAGCATAATTAAAAATATATTTTTATCATTGTTACCGATGTCACATCCTGGCAAAAAGTATTCAGTATTATTAGGATGTGAACACACCAATGAGAAATATAAAAAATGGCAATTTTTTGCAAATTTCTTTACAATACATTGGAGCATGGTTTTTGAGCCAACGATGATGTAGCTAATAATTCATTGTTGCCGGAATCAACCGAGATTGGTCATTGGTCAATCGTGGAAATTGTAAATGCAACTCAACCAATGAACCCAAAGAAATCTCCGAGCTACCATACGAGGTGTGACAATTAAGTATAGAGACTGATTATATTGCCGTGATTGTGGTAACCCTGCAACCTTGAAATTCCTTTTCCCTTCTCCTGGAATCCTTCTCCTCTTCATTGATATATTTGCCATCGCTCTGGCTTGTTTAGTTCGGCTGCTGTGTTGTGCTGAGTAAATATGTGTTCGTGGTGATCGTTACGAAAATAAGCGAGTTATTAGAGGCGATGAGAGCTGATTTTTTCAGTACGACCCGGAAACCAAACGCCAAAGCTCACAATAGTTGTATTCGCACGCTTCCCGCCCGAAAAAAGCTCACATGAGCAAACAATGATTATTGCCTTTTTTGGTCCACAAAGAATTTGACCTCTAAGAGGTCGCCGTCTTGCAAAAAACCGTTTTGTTCCCTCGATATGTCACCCTGTGA